TTTTTTTTTTTTTAAATTGTAGAGATGGGGTCTCCCTGTGTTGCCCCAGCTGTTCTCAAACTCCTGGGCTCAAGAGATTTTCCCGCCTTGGCCTCTCAGAGTGCTGGGATTATAGGCATAAGCTACCATGCCCAGCCTTTCAAATCCAATGAATTTATAATGATCTTTAAGAGTCCTGATGGGTCACTTCTGGAGGATGAGAGGGAACCACTGTACTATTTCGAAAATTGGGCAAACAAAGAGGAGTCAAGCATTTACGTTGCCTTCCCCATATGAAATGTACGAGATCATCTAGTAGTAGCTGTGAGAGGCGTCTCTGTATCAGCATCTTAGCTAATAAACGGACATTTTAGAACATTTCAATTTTGGAACCCCCACTTGATTAATGGACCTGGGGGTGGGAGGAGAGAGAGACAGAGAGAAACAAAACCCAAACCAAGAATTTGTTTCCTGATGGAAGAAACACCAGTCATATTTTGGTCAAGTCTCTGGTCCCAGCTGCCAATGTGCAGGAAATACACATCACAGAGGAAGTCCGGCTGCACAGTGAGTGTATCGTCAGCAACATTTGGATTGGTCAGCTCTACTAATCCAACATGCTGGGTTCTTCAGTATGTGCAGGAAATACGTATAGATTCAAAGAGTCTTAAAAGAGGTATCACAATTTTAAGAAATATAGGCAAAACTAAAAAACAAAAACAAAATTCAGCCAACCAACTCAATCAACCCACAGGCATTTATAGATCACTTTTTATGTGGTGGGGGCTAAGTTGTTTGGTAATTGTATTCCAGTGACTTCATAAATGTGTGCTTCTGTCTCTAGCTACATTTCAAAGAAACTATGTTCTCAAGAACTTAATTTACAAGAATAAGATGGTCCTGAGCTGATGGTTTAACACATAGTTTTCTTACCTCCCTGTGCCAGTTTCCCCTCCCTCCCTCCTTTCTTTCTCTCTCTCTCTCTCTCTCTTTCTGAGACAGGGTCTTGCTCTATCGCCCAGGTTGGAGTGCAGTGGTGCGATCTCGGCTCACTGCAAATCGCCACCTCCTGGTTCAAGCAATTCTCATGCCTCAGCCTCCCGAGTAGCTTGGACCACAGGTGTGCACCACCACACCCAGCTAATTTTTGTATTTTTAGTAGAGATGGGGTTTCACCATGTTGGCCAGGCTGGCCTTGAACTCCTGATCTCAAGTGATCCACCAGCCTTGGCCTCCCAAAGTGCTGGGATTATGGGCATGAGCCACCGCAGCCAGCCCCCGTGCCACAGTTTGTAACTTCTCAGTTACTGGTGGTATACAGAAATAACAGTACTGTTTTTGGGGCAGTCGTGTCAGGCCTGGTTAAAATTGGTGCCCTTGGATCACTTTGTAAAATGTAATCTCTCTGTCTTTAGGTCTGCGCTCCAGGTTTGAGTGCTTTTCACTTTGCACGTTTGTATCTCAATATAAAAGAATATTCAGGCCGGGCACAGGGGTCACGCCTGTAATCCCAGCACTTTAGGAGGCCAGGGCGGGTGGATCATGAGGTCAGGAGATCGAGACCAGCCTGGCCAAGATGGTGAAACCCTGTCTCTACTAAAAATACAAAAATTAGCTGGGTGTGGTGGCGCATGCCTGTAACCCCAGCTACTCGGGAGATGGAGGCAGAAGAATCGCTTGCACTGGGGAGGTGGAGGTTGCAGTGAGCCAAGATTGCGCCACTGTACTCCAGCCTGGTGACAGAGTGAGACTCTGTTTCAGAAAAAAAAAAAAGAATATTCAAAACCAGAGGCAATTTAAATACATGAATTATTGAAAATGACATCATATGATGTATTTCATAAAATTGGCATTTCAGGTTTTTTTGCCAGCATTGTCCTTCAATCAGCACAGGACAAGTACAACTGTGGGAGTTACATCTGGAGAAGGCTTTGATTCCCCTGAGTATGAATCAGACCTGCCGCCCATGCCTGGGGAGACAGTAGAATATCACAGTATTCAATTAATACGGGATGAATTTTTAATGAATGTGCAGAAATTTGCAAGTAATATTCAAAGAACCATGCAGCAACTTGAAGGTAAGGTTTCATTTTCCTCCTTTTTAGTTAAGAATGGTTAATTTACTGTAGTTGGGATTACAGGTGCATGCCACCACGCCTGGCTAACTTTTACAACTTTTTTTTTTTTTTTTTTT